AAACGATTTTTAAAACAAACTTTTTCCTTTAAAATCTTTTCTCGCTTCTTCCGTTATATTGGACTCGTTTAATGTAATTATTCTTCCAAGGATATTAATTAGATTATTATCATCATGATATTATGGATGTTTCGTTTAAGTAGTTAACGATATAAGCGGAAAAAATTTGTGACAAGGACAAGTTTTGATATCAGATTGTTTCGTTTCTGTTCTTTCGCAAGGATATTACAAAAATTGCAACAAATTTGAAATCTTTTTTGAAATATAAAAGTTTGTTTTCCATTTATTCCTTTCCTTTGACGGAGTCAATTTCAAACGAATATTTCGATATTAATCCGATTTCTTGATTAAAGTTCTTGAAAATTAGACAGATATTTCATCCTCGTCGCAATTCACGTTTCATTTTTCACATTCGACAATTAATTATTTACATCAAATCAAATATTTCTTCCCAGACAAAGAATCTCTCCACGAACGAAAATCCAAAATTTAATCAATCAAATATCCCTTCTCTCCCCCCAAAAATTCGAAGAAATGAAGTATCAAGTTTCGCAGAACATCGGTCAACTTTTAAGTCGAACGATGTTCAAACTAAACTCCCTCCAAGTCGAGTCGAGGAAAGGGGGAGGGGTCTAGTTCGTCGCCAATGTCCTCAACCTTGGTCGGTTCAGAAAGGATTACAGAGAAAGAAGCTTCTGGGGACACGCCGGCCGAGTGGCAGGTGTTTGACGAGGATAGGCCGCTTAGCAATTCAAATGACAGGAGGGTGGCAGCTAGAGTCTGGCCTGCGTCGCGTTCGTTAACCGGCGATGGAAATAAGACGATAAAATGTCTGGGAAGGCGTTTCGTGCGTCGCGTAATGCCGACGATTACGAGCCATTTACGCTCCCGACGATTCTCGTTTCGGTGGTGGGTTGGAATTAATTTTCAACCGCCACCCTCTTATTCCTTAATTTTTCTCCCTCTCGCGTTACTCGAAGGGCAACCACCGCGTAATTTCATTCACCTCCGCCTGAGAACCGTCTTCTCCCGGCTTTCCATTTTCTCCCCATTCGTCCTTTGTGCTCGCAGCGAGACTCCTTCTTTTTTTTCCCTTTTTTTCTTTTTTTCGTCTCGTCCGTCCTTCGATTTTCGGGGCTCGTTTTCAATTTATCCCACCCTGATCTGAATTCTTTGGGCGTTACGCGATATTGGGTGTACGGTTAATCGCGTGATTCGATGGTAGTGAGAGTGGATTATTGTCAGATCGAATTTTTGGAGAATTATAATAGAATATTAGAATATATTACTATTAGTATCGTTATTAATAAATTACTATATAGATTTTTTTTCTCTGAGCCTTTATGATTTCATTTTTCTAAAATGAACGAAGATTGTATGTATATTGATATTTTGTTATTTGTATCTTTTTGGAAATTCCATTTTTAACTTTCTATAATTTTCTAAATATTCAAGATGGTTTTTAAGAAACCTGAAAAATCGAATTTTTAATATTATTAATTAAAAAGTGCGAAATTAAAAAAAAAATCCGTGGATTTATCAAATTTTAAGCATTATAATTGCACATGCAAAAAAGAACTTTTATAATTTAATAAATAATATTTAATATTTAATATTGAATTAAAATAATAATATTGTTAGAATAATATTTGATAAAAAAATATTTGTAAATAGATTCTCCCGTGGTTTCATATTTTTGACGAATAAGAACAAATATTTGTGGAATTAAATAATTGTTATTAAATCGTAATTAAATATTTATGTTTTATAATCGATATTATTTCAATGTTGGACCAATGTAAATATAACGAAATGCAAATTTATCCGTTATTCATGAATATATATTGAATTTGTAAAATATTATATATATTTCAATAGAAATGAATACATTTTTCATTCGTAAAATTTAGTTTATCAATTTTGAACACCGTCATCGAAAAATTCTTAAAATTAATGTAATTTTATAATACATATTAAACGTATTAAATTACCTTTTTCTCTGCCTCAATTTATCGAGTATAAATTATCCAATGATTTAAATATTTATATATATTTAAATTATTTATTTATATTATAATATTAATTCCAACTTGTAATATCAAACATATCAAATTACTTCAAAATTATTTACTCCTTTTGTTTCAATGTTTTATCAGGCATAATCAGTTTATTCGCAATTTAATTAAAATTTTTTTTAATCAAAGTTGTTTATAATACAAATTAGAATCTTATTGAGAAGAAATATAAATGAAAGACTGAATTAATCATACTCATCATGCATGATACTTCATTTACAAATTCAATTCGTTCTCTTACAAAGAGAACACATCCATCGTATTTTCCTTATATTTCACAATTTTATATTATCCTTTTATTACAATTATCGTATCCCATTAATAAAGTTCTCGATTTAAATAAAGTCAAATATACTTATAATGATCACAGAAGTCGATAATGATCTCTGATATTTCGCTCTGGATAACAAGATCTTTCGTCATTGCATCTTATAAAGATGAAGTCGAAATCCAGCGGAAATATCGGTAAGAGATCGAAATCTTTGAGAGATCAAGGTGCTTTCATTCTTCTCCTTTCACGCTCTATATTTCATCGCCGATAAATCCTCAACAATAAAATATTCAAACTGTTTCTATTCAACGATTTGTTTCGCGATTTTCATCGAACAATGAGATTTCTCTTATCGTCGTGAAAAAGAAAAAAAGAAAAAAAAGAAGAAGAAAAATTTTAAACGATGCTATGTTCTTAAGCAGATAGATAAAAAAAGTAACTATATCGGTTTCAAAACTCTTTAACAAGATCTTCTGATCTTCCCCGAACTTTCATTTGGCGAACTACTTTGGCTTGGTAAGTAGTAAATGTATTCTTACAGTCAGCCACCAAGATTAATTTCTTCATGTCTGGCATGTACAGAATTGTTTGCTGTTATTGATCGGCCCGAAAAACAACATCGTAAAGATTACGTAAGCTTGGTAAAATTAGGCCACGTTTTAATTGTTACTTCACTTGCATCGAAACATATGCATTTTACGTTTTTTCCACGTTTTGCGTGGATATCCTATGTGCATGATACAAATTTACGTTCGTATAAATCTTTGATTAATAAAAATATTCATTTGATGCGATATACGAACGTTATGTATTTTATGTATTTTAATAACATAAATTCCTAGCATACTTTGTTTTTAATCCAAGGTTAATAGCTTTTTGTGTTTAAGGGGTAAATCCACGTCATTAAATATTTGTAACTTTCTATTGTGCAGATGTGGTATCCATATAATGTATTGGATATATTATGTATAAGAGGTGTACATGTTTTATGATCGTTAAGGGTAGATTATTTGGTTCCTCGAATTCAAAACTTCAAATAAATATCAACGATACCTTAATTAAAAATCGATATATATATATATATATATATATATATATATTTATATATAATATAAATTTTACAATGAAAGTGCAATTATGTATTTTTGATGATTACAAAATTTGATTTAAAATTTATACGCATTAAATAATAAATAACCGGTATAAATTGATTTTCCATAGTCTCATTTTCTATTCTCTATGTTTCTTTTAAGTCGATAAAAATTTTAAAATTGAAATCAACTTTTATTTTATTAATTTATTCATCATTAAAATATTTTAAACTCGCCCAACTTGTGCAAAATAAAAGAGACATTAAAACTACGAAAATATTCGTGCATTTGGATAAAATAAAAAATTTGAATAAAAATTTACAAAGATGCAAATGAAATGTAGAAAGACAAGAGTATTTAAAACGGAGTATGTACGATAGTATTCAAAATTCTTTCTCTTTTATTTCACTTGCGCAGTTGAATTTGCATAAATATCCTCGTCGTATGACATAACGAATATACATACATACATATATATATTTAATCTGAAAGATGTACCAACCTGTGACCGAGACAGTTTGTGCCTGCGATTCTGACGCGACCCCTCGACGGAAGGCGCAGTGGGCGCAAGGAAACGAGGATTACTCTCCACATTTTGGGGGTGTTGCAATTGTTGAGGTTGATAATGGTGGTGAAGGTGATGGGATTGCTGTTGCGAGGGACCACCCCCCAGATGGTGCTCCCCCGTATCCAGCATCTTGCTGCCCAGAGCGTCCAGCTGGGTCAACGACCTCGAACGCACCTGAAACCCATTAATTCTTTCGGTTATTATTGGAAAAAACTTTCCGTTTTTATCCTACCCTCTTTCGATTATTCTTATAAGCAACAATATATAATTGATTCGTTTTCTCTAATACGAGAAAACGAGGATCACTTTTACTTTACTTTTGGGAATAGCGTTTCTCATAATTCTTTATTCCAAATGATTGAATTCCCAGTACTAATAATTAATCTCAAGCAAAACACGTCAATCTAAATCATTCGAAAAGATGGTTAAGTCTCAATCTCCTCGACGACTCTTAAAAATAATCATCTACAATATTCACGTTTTTTATCTTCCAATCTCTTAATATCTTAATATCTTTCACGACACGGATAAATTGGATCACGTATCTCGGATGTTTCGTATTCTCACATTGCGAGTTTTCTCCTGGAGACTCTTCTACACTCGAGTCCATCGATTTATACAACTTTGCATTGTTAATCGCCCGCCATGTTACTTTCTAATTTCTCCTATCTCTCGTATGGAAAAAAAATCAACCGCTGTTGACCCGTTGAAGAGTAACGAGGCAAAAGTGGAACGCGTAGGGAGCGTTCGAGTCGAGTTTGAAGTGGTATAGAGTTTGAGTATGGGTCGTATGTGACCCTTGCGAACGGAAACAGGAAGAACGATATTCTTGTATATATATAAGATATATATAT